TGTGCTCCGCCCCTACAAATAGAAAATGTGTGCTAAGCTGCCATCTTGTACAAGTGTGATCAAATATCCAAACACTGCAAGTTTTACCTTGAATCTCGATCACTCTCAAAGTGCTCACAGTGTGATCAAATATCCAAACACTGCAAGTTAGGCCCGGTCTTCTTGTTCCTTGTAGTGTTTATGACAGCTGTGCTTGTAGTTCAAGAAGCGTTTGTGGAGTTTCTTATCTAAAGCCTTCCTCACCTCTTTATTAGCTGAGACAAATGCAAACTCGCTCTGAAATTTCACCAATTCCATGCATTCAGACTATAAAATTTATAGTTTTAAATTGACAGAGACATATTACCGTACCTCTAGTTTCACAAACATAGGGTGCTTGTCTTCATCAATCAACTCAGTCCAAAAGTACTTCCTTATGGGAGCCATCATACGAGCAACGACACCAACTTCTATGTTCAACAACTTTTGGTTAGGGCCCACAATTGTGTGGTTCTTCTCCTGCAGGAATACTCCATCGATCCTACCCCCCCCCCCCCCCCCCAGTGGTTCGTGCCATCACTTAAACACGTTTGGTCAGCCCCCTCTTTCGGCCACCTATGGATACAGGTCAAACAGTAATAGATATGTGATAATCCATGTTTCTCAAGTGACAAAAGGATTTGATAGTATATTTGGTAAAGAAGAGTTAGGATAACACGCACCTGTCTTTTTCGGTTGTTCAGGCATGGTTGTGGCAGTATTCTCTACATTCTCGTCAAGCTCCTCTATAGGTTCAGTAGTCCTCCTTGGACCCCTCGAAGACACCCCTCCACCCCTCGGAGACCTCACTAGACCCCTGCAAGAGCTCCTTGCATTATCTACACTCCTCGCTGGATGGGATCTGGTCACTCGTTCACAGATTGTCATTGGTTGCTTCCTAGTCCTGGCTTTCTTTTGAGGCCTCGGTGGCATTTCTGCTCACACTCCAAACAAAGTTAAACCGTTAGCAAATATCCAAACACTTATAAACGTATAAACTCAACAAAGATGGAGAGTATAATAGACAATATAAGGAAGTAAGTATTTTGTCTTAGCAATATGTGTAGTTTATCAACCAAAATTTCGCATACATTGTAAAACACTATAAGTAAATGGAAACCCAAATCCTTTTGTACTTGGTTTAGTGGGGAAATGAGTATTTTGTCGTAGCAATATGTAGAAAACCAGACAGAAAATAAAGGGACCAAAAACCACATGCACACGCTACTTGTCATATTCATCGTCACTGTTGATTCCCTCCAAAGGGTTATTAGCTGCTACTCCCTCCAAAACATCATCGAAATCAGCTAATGTGTCATCCTTTTCGACCTCCATTATATCCTCTGTGTTGAGTACACCATCACGTTTCTTAATAACGCTCTCACTAACCTTTTTGGGAGCCTCATTTGCACGATTCAGGTCATCCAACTCTGTGTCCTGCACTTGAATCACATTGCCAATGCCACTCTCTTCTTGCTGAAACGTCTCATTTGCATACACAGGATCATTGATTTCCCCTTCCTCCTTCTCAGGAACATCATACACGTGTTGGGGAGTAACCTTCATAACAAATGCCAAGCACCACCATGCTTTATATTAGGTATATAAAATACCCGATTCGCTTGACCAGCAAATATATATGGCTCATTTTGATACCATTTTCTACCCATATTAACACTAGTAATGAACCCATCTGCCAGTATCCATGTCTACCATCTCCTACATTCCACCAATCGCATTTGAACACAAAAATGCAATTACCATAGCAGTAGGTCAGTTGATATATGTCGACGAGCACACCGTAGAACTCAATATTCACTCCATTATGAGCCCCTTCCACAAATAAACCGCTATTCTGAGTCCTATGGGTTTGTTTTGGGTCAAACACTTGGTAACGAACACCATTAAAGAGGATGTCATTGTACCTAGTGACGCGTGTGTCTGCCCCTAACCCTAAAACATGTAAATGGTCTCGCGCTTTAAGGGAACCAGAAAAACACATTTATGTAACCTAGGCACTCAGTAAAGTAGTGAACAAACAAAAGTTAGCTTTAAGGGATTGACATGAAATAAGTTATTAATAATGAAATAAAATGGCAGCGAAGGCAGGAAAGGGGGAATCAGATTCCATAACTTACATGTTGCTTCAACCAAGACGGAAAGGTAGCTTAAGGGATTGATAGGAAATGTTAGGATTCTCTTGAACCTTCTCATCTTTATGCATGCTGTGTAGTGATATGAAATCAGATATGCCGGGGAGTAAAGATGTGTAAAAGAAAAAGTTGCATTTAGTAGTCAAAGTTAGATTGTACTTATGATGCTCTGGAACACAACACCTAACAATGGCCAAGTGTAACCAATGAAAGGGACTGCAGTATAGTGGCACAAGTAATAAATATCGAATCCACGGGTCTCTAGAGTTACTATTACTCAGCTTCAGTTCATTATCTAGCAAACTAGATTAAGGATTGATTAACTAAACTACTCTACTAACTAAACTAAGTAAAACTACTAATTACAGTTTGAGAACTCACTTAGGTATGATTCCCCCTAGCTCCTCAATTAGGTCCAAGTTGTAATTCCTTTTGGTTGATTTACTGTTGATTAAACTGCGGAAGATCCGACAGTAGCTTGGAATCTCTTAAGCTGACCAAGCCCTCTCAGTCTAACTATCCGGCAGACGACTAGTCTTCACCGGGATAGAAAGCTGAAGCAATAAGCACAGAACTCCACTACTGGAATTGGATTCCAGTACAAAGCAGTAAACTGGCTAACTCTCGTATAGCCAATCTCCTACTACCGAATGATGAGACTCTAGCAACCTAATAAGATTCTATCTATCTCAGATTGCAGCAGGAATCAGGAAAAGTTGATCAGACTTCAATTGACTCAATAAACATGCATCATTCGATTATAATCAAACAATATAGCATCCAAAACTTCATACAAGAAAGATCCTAACTCATGGAACTAAGGTTCCTCAAAACCTAAGTGAAGGGAAGTTACTCCATAGAGAAGAGAGAGACTGCAGAAATCTGATCTAGATCTTCAATCTCCATCTCCAAGCTTGATTCCCGAGCTCCAATGGCGAAGAAATCCTCCAAAATAGCTCCAAGAATGTTCCCAAGTCGCTCTCTCTCTCTAGGGTTCGTCCCTTGGGTGTTTGGGATCCAAAACCCAGCTCTCCCTTTCCTTTGGCTCTAATCTGCCTCAAAAACCCGATTCTGGGCGAATTACGGGCTGAATTACTCCATGCCCGTATTTTGCCCAAAACACGCGTTTTGGTTAAGTTTCAGCGCACCCAAAGCTCCTCTCGGCAGTGAAATTACGGGCATGGGAGGGGAAATTACGGTCGTAATTCTCCTGCCCGTAATTCTTCCTCCACCCTTGTTCAAAGCTTCGTTTCTCCCTCGTCCGGACTCCGAATCAGTCGCCGTTTGAACCCAGACGCTCGTAGTCTCATACTCTTTCTTTTCATAACAAACTTTCATGATTCTTTGTCCATTATATGAGGTAGAAATACATTATTCCTTAGTTCATGCTCGTGTTTCTTCTCCCGAATTGCCAAATGATCTCCGATTGACTTGAAACTTGCGCCTACGCTTCACTTTATGTGCTAGGGCCTGAAATGTGACAAAGGAAAACAACCTAGCGTAAAATAGGCCAAAGAAGCGATAATGCAGGCTTAAACGATCAAGAAACAAAGGGGAAAACATGTGCAAATATCGAGTCATCAAATTCCCCCACACTTAACTGGTTGCTTGTCCCCAAGCAAACCTGACTCAAACCAATGCAACTCTCCAGACCTCTATAGCAACAAACAACCCCGATCGTCGGTAGAGGATTTCCTAGATCATATAGCAGCTTACGAGGTCAACTGGTCTTCTAAGACGTTCCCTATCTCTCTCAATACGAGTACTAGACTCAAGCCAGGACCATGAGAAGAAGTAGAAGTAAGACAGTCAGTTCATGGATAAAGGGACTCACACCATTCACAACCAAGGACTCGTTGTACCGGGGTGCTCTTTCACTTCATTTCACCGTTGGAACCCCTTTTTCACTTTCACTTTACTTTTGTTTACTTATTTTTTTCATTCACTTAGCGGGGGTTCCAACTGCAGTCTCTTACACGGTCGACCCTTATTAGTCGAGCAAGAGCAATATCTGTACATCTGGCGCTCGCTAGAGTACTTCTTTTAACTCCTTTTCCTCAACTCATGTGGAGGGTCAATGAAATTAAGGGGGGTCGGAAGCTCTATCCGTGCCCTTAAAAACACATCCTCAAGTAGGCAAACCGTTCAACGGGTGGAAGTTTTACTTGTACTAGAGACAACTTAGCTTCACCTTGTAGGAGTACCCCACTAAGGATCACTAAAATCTCTTCCAAAACCCGATTTTGTGCAATGAACGGTGCCGCACACGTTGGGCTTACCCCATGTTTAAGATTTAATGATTTTGACATGGAGGACCAACTGCTTCCCATTTTCCATATGAGCACCCTGTTCGATACACGAGTCCATAACATAATCCAAACAGAGTCACCATTACCACATGAATTCAACGGTCTTAGCTCCACTAATTCACAAAATCAACTGGCACAACAGAGAGCTAGATGGAAAAAATCTTATACTTCAACATCCTCCATAGTGCTACACTACCTCCCTAGGTTGCACATTACTATAGAGACTGTCGATTCAAAGCATACTGAGCAGGCAATTTGCAAGGAAACACGTACATGGAGCCCTCAAATTTAAAAATTTGGACAGTGAACTAGGCTCCAAGCACACAAACAGCCAAACATTCACCCGCATACATAATCGAACACCCCCCCCCCCCCACACTTAAGCACGACATTGTCCTCAATGGAGGAAAGATAAGGAGGCTAGAACGAAGTTACCAGATCAAGGGTGAATGATGATGTACGGGTCAGGCAGTGCATTCCAGGAAGAGGGAGTAATTAGAACACAAACACCACACAAAATCTCACAAAGGTTGAGTTATTGACTCTAAAATCAAATAAAAAAACTGACTCAACTGAGGAGAAATAGAGAAAGAAATGCAAACCGACTGGTTGGGTTGCCTCCCAACAAGCGCTTCTTTCACGTCGTGAGCCGGACGATGTCTCCTAAGTTTCGGTCCATGCTAGAACCTCCTTGAAGTTGAGGTTCTCGTCGATGAGGTGGAGTCTCAAGTCACGAGCATGTAGTGTGGCAGGTGATGAAGGCTCATGTACTTGATGCAGATGAAGTCTCCACCCTCGAGACCTCTTCTTCTCTTCTCTCGTCTCATTGCCCTAAACCAGATATGACAGCATCGATTGGCCACCATCGCGTCCACCAAGAGGGACCGATGTTGATGTGGCCTTGGTCTGGCAAAGAGACACTGCAAATGGGTCCTTGCTAAGCAGTTCCTCAAAGTTTGGTGGGGATATCACTTGCAACTCATGGCCGGTGCAGGCCTCTTCCACCTCAACTCCGTTCTCAGCCTGGACGCCAATTGCTTCTTCAACCCCCCTTTCTTCTTCATGTGGTATCACCCCTGGGAAATGATCAAGAACTCCTCCTGCTTCACTTTCGTCATCCTCCACAACTTCTTTCTGCACCCTTTCTTGCTCTTCTTCTTCTAGCACAAATTGGAGAGCAAGTCGCCATATAATTTCTACAATGAGATCATCTTGCATCTCCTCGCTCGGGCCCAGCATGTTAGAGCAGAAATAAGGAATTGTGTGATCTGCAACCAGAGGACTTTCCTGTTCATGATTATCATGGGAGTTCTCTGTGATAACTTCTGTATGCTCCTCAACATCCCCATAGCCTTTGTCATCCTCCACCTCTTCTAGCGTGGTAGCAGAAAGGTGATCTTGAGCAAGATGTGAGCAAACTTGCTCCACCCACTCTGTTTGCTTCGCTGAGCGCTGAACAGTCTCCTCCATATCATGGAGAAATGAGGGATCGGAAGCAGCAAGGGCTTTGATTTGAAGCAAGGGTGGAAAAGAAAAGAAAAACGCTAAAGTAACAAACTTCTGCCTTTCCTAATAATCTAGAAAGTCCCCGGCAACGGCGCCAAAAACTTGATGCTCTGGAACACAACACCTAACAATGGCCAAGTGTAACCAATGAAAGGGACTGCAGTATAGTGGCACAAGTAATAAATATCGAATCCACGGGTCTCTAGAGTTACTATTACTCAGCTTCAGTTCATTATCTAGCAAACTAGATTAAGGATTGATTAACTAAACTACTCTACTAACTAAACTAAGTAAAACTACTAATTACAGTTTGAGAACTCACTTAGGTATGATTCCCCCTAGCTCCTCAATTAGGTCCAAGTTGTAATTCCTTTTGGTTGATTTACTGTTGATTAAACTGCGGAAGATCCGACAGTAGCTTGGAATCTCTTAAGCTGACCAAGCCCTCTCAGTCTAACTATCCGGCAGACGACTAGTCTTCACCGGGATAGAAAGCTGAAGCAATAAGCACAGAACTCCACTACTGGAATTGGATTCCAGTACAAAGCAGTAAACTGGCTAACTCTCGTATAGCCAATCTCCTACTACCGAATGATGAGACTCTAGCAACCTAATCAGATTCTATCTATCTCAGATTGCAGCAGGAATCATGAAAAGTTGATCAGACTTCAATTGACTCAATAAACATGCATCATTCGATTATAATCAAACAATATAGCATCCAAAACTTCATACAAGAAAGATCCTAACTCATGGAACTAAGGTTCCTCAAAACCTAAGTGAAGGGAAGTTACTCCATAGAGAAGAGAGAGACTGCAGAAATCTGATCTAGATCTTCAATCTCCATCTCCAAGCTTGATTACCGAGCTCCAATGGCGAAGAAATCCTCCAAAATAGCTCCAAGAATGTTCCCAAGTCGCTCTCTCTCTCTAGGGTTTGTCCCTTGGGTGTTTGGGATCCAAAACCCAGCTCTCCCTTTCCTTTGGCTCTAATCTGCCTCAAAAACCCGATTCTGGGCGAATTACGGGCTGAATTACGGTCGTAATTCTTCCATGCCCGTATTTTGCCCAAAACACGCGTTTTGGTTAAGTTTCAGCGCACCCAAAGCTCCTCTCGGCAGTGAAATTACGGGCATGGGAGGGGAAATTACGGTCGTAATTCTCCTGCCCGTAATTCTTCCTCCACCCTTGTTCAAAGCTTCGTTTCTCCCTCGTCCGGACTCCGAATCAGTCGCCGTTTGAACCCAGACGCTCGTAGTCTCATACTCTTTCTTTTCATAACAAACTTTCATGATTCTTTGTCCATTATATGAGGTAGAAATCCATTATTCCTTAGGTCATGCTCGTGTTTCTTCTCCCGAATTGCCAAATGATCTCCGATTGACTTGAAACTTGCGCCTACGCTTCACTTTATGTGCTAGGGCCTGAAATGTGACAAAGGAAAAAAACCTAGCGTAAAATAGGCCAAAGAAGCGATAATGCAGGCTTAAACGATCAAGAAACAAAGGGGAAAACATGTGCAAATATCGAGTCATCAACTTACTTGATAATGTCTTCAATTTCATCGCAATTATTAAGGATATACCATTGAATTTGCTCAAATTCATCTACTGAAATCGGGTCATAACGAGTAGCTCCTAGTGTTCTACCTTGTTGGGTAAAAATACGAAAGCCCTCAGACTCAAGACCTTCAAACCCGTCATCATTACGGTTAGGACGAGAAGCCCTTGTTTCAAACCCTTCCAAATATCTAGAACAAAAATCGAAACACTCTTTTGCTATATATCTTTCAACAATGGACCCCTCAGGGTTAGCCCTATTTCGAACAAAACTTTTAAGGGTACCAAGAAACCTAAGTACACAAAAACAACAGTCCATAAAATAAGGCCCCGTTTAGTATCGATTTGTTGCTGTTGTGGTTGCAGTGGTGTTGTGTAAACAGATGTACAACCGCAACAGGAAAAAAACAGAAAACACAAACATGTTTAGTTGATAATCTGAAAAATAATGAAAGTAGACAACAAGAAACCAAAACGTTCAGTTACTAGTATTAGAACTAAAACCCAAAAAAGAGAGGAGGCGACGGCGGGGGAAAGGATTCGAAGTCGGCGGCGGGGAATCGAGAGGAGGTGGCGGAAGGAAAGGGAGGCGACGAGAATCGAGAGGAGGAGGCGGCAGGGGTTGCGAGGTCGTGCGACAGGGGAAAGGGAGGCGGCGGGGGCAAAGGGAAGAAATCGGCGGCGAGGGAGAGATGGACGATATCGGCGGCCTGGGTCTCGAGAGGAAGAAGTTGAGAGAGGGAAAGAACTGTTGGGCGGCGAGTTTGGGAGAAAATGAGGGTAGGGTTGGCCGACTAGGGTTTGGAGGTGGGTTTGGTAGTTAAAAAAATGAGAAATTTTTTGCTTTAGGTGGGATTCGAATTGAGGGTTGTTTTAATGAAAACAAACAGGAATCCCGTGTAAAACTTGTACAAGAATCAAATCCAAAGCAATAAATTGTTGTTTCTCAAATTTGGGCCTTGTTGTGCAAATCTGATTCACAACAAAAAATAGAAACCCAACCAAACATGTTTTTTTTCTTGGTTTCTCCAATTTTGAAAAACACAACAGAAAACAAAAACAGGCAACAATACTAAACAGGGCTAAGGTTATGGACATACTGGGTTAACAAATGAGAGTATGGTTTGAATGAAAAATTAAAGGAAAAATCCTACCTTTCCATGAGATACTTCCACCTATATTGTACCGGGCCACCAAGTTCTACCTCAGGGGGTAGATGAACAGGAAGGTGCATCATAACCACGAAAAAAGATGGAGGGTATAACATCGCAAGCTTACACAAAATGAGAGGTATGTTGTGGTCCAAATTTTTTACAGTGGCTATTGGAGATTGTTTTCGAACACAACTCCCTGAAAAAACCACTCAACTCAGCCAAAATAGTGTAAACTTCTTTTGTGAAGAAGCCATTAGCCACAGCAGGCAACAATCGTTGTATAAATACGTGGTGATCATGGCTTTTAAACCCTGTCACCGACTTACCATCAGTAGTCACACACCGGGATATGTTTGATGCATAAGCATCGGGAAATTTTATAGATTTCGACCAGTCACAGAATTCCCTACGTTGCAGCGCTGTTAGTGTGTATAAGGCTTGTGGCATCTTAAACTTATCACCAACAGGAATTAAATGTAATTCCTTCCTAATGGCCATCTATTTTAAATACATGCGAGCATTCGGCGTATCCTTTGTTTTCCCATCAATGCTCATCATCGTCCCGATAACATTGTCACTAATGTTCTTCTCTACATGCATGACATTTATGTTATGCCGCAAGCCAATAGACCTCCAGTATGGCAAAATCCAAAACGAAGATCTTGTTTTCCAATTGAATTTGTCCTCCGAAGCACTTCTTTTTTGTTTCCCACCCTCGTGAACAGTAACATCCCCACTGAACGCAGCTTCAACCTGTTGAAGTATCTCTTCTCCTGATAATTGCTTAGGTTTGTTTCTGTGCTCTGGCTTCCCATTGAACTTCTTACTCCTCCTCCAACGATGATCTTTGTCCAACCACCTTCGATGCCCCATGTAGCACTCCTTGCTTCCATATTCCAAACGTTGAGAACAAGTCTCAATGTTGCACACTGGGTAGGCCAGTTTATCCCTATTGCTCCACCTAGAAAGCATGGCATATGCAGGGAAATCATTGATGGTCCACAGCAATGCAGCATGCAATTGAAAAGATTCGTTTGCATGAGCATCCTATGTAACAACCCCATCATGCCACAACTCATTCAACTGTTCTATAACGGGTTCTAGATAGACATAAATGTTATTCCAGGGGTATTCTTTTGCTAGATCTTTGGTAGTGAACAACCGCTGCAACCTATCCTTAATGGGGAAGTACCTAAGCCTGTTTAAGGCAACATCTTTCTGCTTACCAGATTTAAACCTAGGTTCTTTACATTTGGGGCATTCGCGAGTAGCTTCAAGCTGCCCCCCCCCCCCCTCCTATATAGAACACAGTTATTTGGACATGCATCGATGATGGTGTAACCAAATCCAAGATCACGCATATACTTCTTCACCTCATAGAATGAAGTGGGAAGTGTTTCCCCATTCGGTAAACCTTCCTTGATTAAATCAAGATATTGGTTGAATGCTTTATCACTACTTTTTTTCTGTATCTTGATATTCATCATTTTCATAACATAGGACAGTTTTGAAATTTTTTTGCATTCAGGGTAAAGAGGGCAATTGGCATCTTTGAGGAGCCTTGCCAATGCACCATTATTATTAAGGCCGTGGGAAGGTTCAGCGGTTGTTAGACACTCATTCGCCCTACCAAAATCACCCAACATTTCAGACATGTTGGTCTGTAAACCACTCTCTTCATTATGAACATCGTCAGACTCAGTCGGTGGGTTTACACCGCTACTACTAACACCATATGACTCACCATGATGGACCCACGTTTTATATGTCTCGACCATGCCATGCTTAAATATGTCTCCCCGCACCTGGACTAATGTCTTAAAGTAGAGATTATTGCAGTTCTTGCACGGACATCTAACCCTACAAATTGCATCGACATGCTTAGAAGCAGCTTCCATGAACTCATTAACACCCAACTCATAATCAGCACACCAATGATCTTTGAGCATAATCCACTGAAGACTCATTACACGTTAAGGTATAACTAACCTTTGATTGCAGTCTGTAATTTGACGCAACAGGTTGTAATCGACTAGAGAGATACTAACCTGCATGTAGTATTAAAACTTGAAATCAGTTCAAAGGGGCTCAAATCTAGTAAACAAATTATGCTTGTTTGAACTTAGGAAGGAGATAAACCGGTACATGCAACATGTTGCTGGAGCTTACAACACCTTATATTTACCACCACCAGTAAAAAGATAGTCATCTTAGTTAAACCCAAAAAGCATGGTGATTCACATCATACACGTTTCAGAATCAACAAGAATAAGGGCACATTAACCAATTGCAACAAGAAACGAAGAAGACCAAATGTTTTCATGACACAAAATATGAATTGGGGTTTTCTGAAAACCATCCACATTTTGAAAACAACCACTATCCCCATCAAAAACCACTTTTCACAAATATCACCTTCATAAAAATCCATTCCATCAAACTGACTCATCCCGCGCACCAGCTAAAATGATTGCCTAACAGCTATCTATGTAAG